CATAGGCGGAGCGTGTGTAAGGCTGGGGAAGGCATATCTATTACGTCTGTTGCTAACAAAGTGAATATGAATTGACTGTGTCGATTGCGGCATTAAATTAAGATCTGCTCATGTTGCACTGTATTTCATTTTAGGCGTTTTTACAGTGTTGCGCATTTTAACCAATCACACACATATCTGTTGAGCTTAGGAATGCAATGGCCAATCAGAAGCGTTCAGCTGAGTCATCGTTTAAACTCATCAGTTTTGTTGAGTGCGCGCGCGTTCGCTGACTGAATTCCGGACTCTTGCGAATTCTCTCATCATAAACAACAAAGCGCAGATGTACATACAATGTAAGTAAGAGATTAATTTAACAGTGTATACAGCTTCAGTAATTATAAGGATATTTTAATTTTTTTGAGAGTGCTTAAACTCGCGATAGATCAATGTTAGTGATAATGTCACTTCCTATATATAATTTATTCGCTGTTCGAATAACAGTGGAAACGTTATATAATTATCAATTTCTAACATTTTTATTATATTGTAATCACGTTAAATACAAATTCAGTCCCATTAAACATTTTTTTTAGCCTAAGTTACATGACAACGATCTTGCCTAAAAAGACGGGTTTATAATGTTTAATACATTTGGCTGCTTTTAGCCTTACCCTGGAGTTGGTTCACCCTCCGCCTATGGCTATAAATGAATAAAGTTTAAGTCCTTGAGCTTGACCAGAGCATTTCTGTTTTGGTATACCGTTTATACGTTTTTAGCAATACGCCCCTAAATTACACATGCATATTCATTTTAAAAAGTTACAGAGCTCAAAATATACTGCACAACAGGAATGATTTTAAAATAGTTATTTATTCTACAAAATCCTTTTCCTGGATGTTGAAACAATAGTTTATCAACCTGTCACTCAAGGCATGCGCTGTCACTTTAGGAACTATACGTAACTCCAGCGTAAATCTCACTCCATCCGTCGTGATGCTCAGCAGAGTTCAAAGCGCTGCTTGTCGTTGGTCTTTACGCAAAGCGCGTTTGTGAATAGCCGGAACGTAGCGTATAGAATTCGTGTGGCTGGCTCGCTCCTGTTTCGGTGGGCCACACGAGGAAGGTAAATAAAGACAGAACGGTCACCAGCGCAGCTTTTACCCGTCAGGTACCGACAACCAACGGGCTGTTAACCTCAGCTGTCTTTTTAGGGCCTGCTAAACACCATTACTCTCGGGATAAAAGGAGAAAGAGAGGAGAAGAGAGGTGACAACATTGCCTGTGCAGGTGAGATGAGTTTATTTAGCTTGTAAGCTAACTGTCTGCAACATAGTTGACTTAGTTGTCCTGCTAGCTTCATTGTTATAATTCAAACCTGCAGCACAATTACGGCTGTGAATAGCTAACCGGTTGTTGTCTATTACGTTGGGGTGTGCAACTGCCATTTACATTTGAGGAAAGTCACACTCGCATTTAATGTTCCTATGTGGAAGCCAAACTGACAGCAGACAAGAGCCAGATTCGGAGCTGAATCTGTTTTGGGTTTATTGCAAAAGGACAGCAAGGTAAACCAGGGCTGCTTGTTCACATGCAATCGTGGTTAATTGTTAATAGCTGTTTTCAGGGAACAATGCAGTCTGTGTAATCCTTCTAGTCTGGATAAACTGATGGAGCATATGTTTATGCCAGTGGAAAGGTAGCTCAGTCCACAGGGTTTATCTCAAGCCGATGATTCATTGTCTTTCCGTCTCTGTTCAGGCTGGAGATGCTTTTGTTTGTGGCAGGTATGGTGGCGTAGGATTCAAGATATTCATCCTAACCACTTCCAGAGATGAAATGGTTTACAATAATCGTTATTGATTTTAATTCATATAAACAGACTATAGCTGGGGACACACTACTCAACTAGCTGAAACATCCTAAGACTGAACTCAACACATTAAAAGACTGTTTCCATTGACTGGAGAAGATTCTAGTTTGACAGACAGAGAGGAGCACAAACCTAATGACTGAGTCAGTCCACAACACACTTAACGATTGGCAAATCATGACTGGACAAATTCTGGCGAACCAAAAAATAAATAAAATAAACAATAATAATAAGAATAAATAAATAAATCTCACAATAACTTAACTGTGCAAGATCTTGTACCAAAACAAACATACAACTTGCAGTATTTCTATGCTGTGCAATTTGTGCAGGGGGAAAAAAATTAAATAAATAAATACAAAATCCCAGGATCTGATTATATGGTCTACCCGCGCTTCCGCCCACCAATGACTACACTGAGGGCAACACCTGTGCTTTTATTTAATTATTGAAACTTTACAAGGTTTGTTTTACTTTTTTAATTTTTTATTTGTGCTTAAAGGGGGTGTTTAATGCTATTTCATGCATTTTGACTTTAAATACATTGCTAAAGTGTTGGATTCTCATACTAAACATTATCAAAATCTCAAAAAATGAGTTGGACTTATGATGGAGTTAGTGTTGAATACCAAAATTTCTGTATTCGGTACCAATACCAGTGAAAATCCACGGTTCTTGGTACCAATTTCGGTACCAAAGCAAAACACAAAAACATGCTAATTAAAAAACACATACAAAAATCAATGCCATTCTTTATACTTATTTAAAATTGTGTTTCGTCTGTTTTTCAAGTTTCACCCAAAAGTTTTTGTCATATTTGTGCTGCTGCCGAAAAACAACTGTAAACTGTTGTCTGTTTTAGGGTTTGCTAGTGTGTTTCATGATCTTCCTCAGCCTGCAGCTGTAAAAGGAAAATATAATAAACTTAAGTAAAGCAATGGGCTGAGTCTGACCAAATGCAACATTAAATCATTGACAACAGCTATAATATAACTTTTCAGTAAATAACAAACCTCTGCTTTTATAATAAATTTAGATAAGATACATATATTTTAAGTCAAGTGTATATCAAATAGATGGAAACTGTAGTATTAAAAACACTTTACAATAAGATTACATTTGTTAGATAACATGACCTATCAATAAACAATAGTTATAGCAATTATTCTTCTTAGGGTTAATTTCAAAATGTACTAATACATAAAATCAAAAATTCAATCTGTTAAAATTATTTAATGCACAATGAACAAACATGAATCATCAAGTGTTTGTATTAAATAACATTCAAAAACATTAATTAATGTAAAAATATATTGTTCGCTCACTGTAAGTAATAATAACATGAAGCCATGTTAATGAATGATATCGTATTGTGAAGTCTATACAGGAGATAAAAATTTGACTATACTTTCATTTAATCCAAACTGTGTACATATTTAAAAAGAAAAACTGCAGTGCTTTACAAATATAGGACAGGATGAGCTAAATAAACTTATCACTGCATCTAAACCAACAACATGCCTATTAGATCCTGTACCCACTAAATTACTGCAAGACTTGTTACCTGTAGCAGAAGAACCACTTCTTAATATCATTAACTCATCGTTATCTTTAGGTCACGTCCCAAAACCATTCAAGCTGGCGGTTATTAAGCCTCTTACTAAGAAACCACAACTAGATCCTAGTGAACTGGCAAATTACAGACCCATCTCAAATCTTCCTTTTATGTCTAA